GGAGATTTATTTATTTTTTTATTTTATTTCTTTCTGAAAGGGTTTTGTGTATATAAAAAAACTGCCGTAACATTTGTTTTTTGACGACTTCATAAAGGGTTATTTTTTTCTTTTTAGGGTATTTAAACTATTTATTAGGGCTATGGATTATAAAAATTATTTTATTGTATGTTTGTTTTATGCTAATTACTCAATGCAAAAATTTGATGTCGGCAAAAAAACGTTAACTCATGTCTATTGTTTTATAGATTTTTATATAATAGAAACTTAATAATGTGCAGTTTCTCATGGAGGCACAAAGGGCATGGGTCATCCCAAGTTTTACAAGTTCTAGTCCTGTTTATAATTTTCCATTATGCCAAAAATATTTAGATAGAGAAGTTTGATTTCTTTTATTTATATTGTTGAAAGAGCACTTATGCTGCCTCCATCTGGCTTTAAATTCATTCTTCGTAGACCCAATGTATATCATATTAGTTTTAATGTACATTGGGTCTACGAAGAATGAAAAAAAATCATGTTAGAGTTATTCCCCCTGATTGAGTGACGCAATTGTCGAATTTTAATTAATGTTGTTTTGTTGTCAAAACTTTTCTAATTTTGTTTTATTATAATCAAACTCTTTTTCACTGAGAGACATACTGCAAATATTAATTATTATTTTTTTTAAATTCAAATTTAAGGACAAACAACAAAAAAGGAATTTTGGAAAAATTCTCAGAAAAATATTTCATAACTAAAAAAATAGCTGTTTAAAACGCTTGTTTTTGTCATATGAAAGACATGTGGCCAAAAAAAAGTGTCATCTGTTCATTGTTGTTGTCATCACCCGGGTTAGTAGGTGTTAAAAAAAACAAAACAAACTTTTACTATAGCAAACCTGAACTGACTTTAAGTTTAGTGGGACTAGGAACCCTCAAAAAACAGCTGTGCTGAAATAAAAATTAATTTAAAAAATAATAAAGAACATAAAATTTGAATTATAAATGTATTTTTTTCATAATTGAAATGTTATTTTTATTCAAGAATTCTCCCTCAAACTTAAGGTAAAAAAAAAAAATTGGAAATATGTATATATAATAAACTGGTTCACTTAAAGCTAGACCGAGTTATATCACTTTTGCTCTACCATCCGATAAATTCCCCTGACGTAAGTTGTTGACAGATTGACGTACACCAGTTAACACCCCTCAATCAGGCCCAAAAAACCAAGCACCATGGTTGGAAATGTTTTTTAAAATTTTCTCATGAAAAAGTAAGTAATGTTTCTTTCAAATTACATTAAGAATACTTTAAATTTTTTAATTTTCCTAAAATAACTTTTGCAAAAAGTATAATTGAATTTTACAAGATTTTTAAATGAGGAAACTTCACTTTTGTTTATAAAACTGTCAGTAATGATGGATTTTTACTGTTTTTATGTTAATTCTGATGACTGAAAAAAAAAAAAAACAAGATTTTTAGCTAAGATTTCGGACATGCTAGAAAGGATTAAAAAAATTTAAAAAATACTCAAAAAATACTTTGGTCTTTCCTCTAAATAATGACATAAACATCTAGACAATACAAAATTTTTTTTAATCAAGTTTGGGGCTTTTTTTTTCATCAGGGTGCATTTTTTATTTTTAGCGAAAATGGACACAGCTAGTTAAGATCCTAGTTTAAAATTCGTCCAAAAATCAATTATACGTTTTTCAAAATTTATTTGATGAAAATTAGCAAATTTAAAGATTATTTAATATATTTTGAAAGAAACTTTTACTTACTTTCTTCAAAGAAAAATGTTTAAAATAAAAGGAGGCAATCTTAATATCGTTGGCTATTGACAGGTGATGAGTGATGACTTATCACATATCGACAGCTAACGTGAGATTTGAGTTATCATACGGAAGGACATAATTGATGTAACGGTTTTTTCTTTTATGTGAACCAGCTTATGTATTACCTCGTAATTATTAAAGTAAAAAAAAAAAAAAAAAACTTTCAGCATTTCAATTTCTTTTATTTTGTTTTTTTTTATTACTGTAGCTTACACCATAAGTTTGTTAATACTATCTGTAGAAATTATAAATACTATAAATAAATTAAAATACAAGTGCTGTACAGCTTTTTGAGGGCAACTATAGCCCCCTAAAGTAAATACAGATCTGTTATAATAAAACATTTCTATCCCAAGTAAAAATCATCACAAACATATCAAAAGTTATTTTGTTACATTACAGCCAATTTGAACTGAAAAAAAAAATTGAAAAATGACTTTAGTCATCATCTGAACAAAATATCAAAGAAACTTTTGATCTGCACCCCATGAAACTAGGTATTTCCTGAAAGCAAAGAATGCTCTTCCATTTCTAAGTGAAATTGGTTGGTGGAAATGATTATAAAAATTATTTCTGGAGATAAAATATGGAAAAATAGTTAAAATTGCTATTCCTGAACACTGGAAACAAGGATTTTTTTTTTTTTTTTTTTTTTTTTTTTTTTTTTTTTTTTTTTTTAAATCAGTGATGTTGAAATTAAGCCAAAATTGACTTTGACATTGCTGGGTCAAAGGCCAGCCAGCTGACAATACCAAGCTGTCATCACCTTGTAAAAAAAATTTTTTTTTTTTTTTTTTTTTTTTAAATTTATGTTTGAACAATGACTTGATGTATTTTTGTTTTTTAACACCTTTTGAGCAGGGTGATGACAACAACACTTAAGGAATGATTATGAGCTTCAGGCAGAATGGACTGAGATCTGAGAGGGCATACTGGAAATTTGTGACATGTTCACAAATAACATGAAGTAACAGGCACGTGATCACTGATAGATAGTTGGGTTTCTATATGTAATTACTTGGGCAGGCTCCAGAGAAATTGGCACAGTCAGTGTGAATGATTTTTCTGGCTGTAACGGAGAGGTTAAGTGTGTCAAAAATTGTGATGAAATTCTCACAAAATAACATGTGGTAATAAACTGTTGATAAGAACCGAAAACTGTTTGAAATAAGAAATTCACATAAAACTGAAATAAAGATGACTCACTGAAAAGTGAGAACCGTAAAACAACTTCAAAAAAATGAAATTGCAATGAAATATGTAAATGAAATAAATGGTACTTTTAAAAATGTAGTAATGTTGATGGTGAAAATGGCTTAGGATGATGTTCAAATTTTTGTAATGAGTAAAAAACGCTAATTCAAAATGCTATCAACATGTATTTCGCACGAAGACTTTGCAATAATGAAATTGACGTTCAGGGGAGAACGCTTACACTCAAGCCACGTGACGTTTTATTGCTTGTGACCTTCTGTACGTTTTAATTACAGCCATTTTAACAATTTTTATGAACACAAAATTACATTTCTTAATTACTGCGGATCTTCTGATTAGTCAAAACGATACAACTTACAATGTGCTAAAAAAAGATCTATCTCATAAGGACACTTATGAAACGTGATACGGCTTTTAACTAATTTTATAATATTTTAACAAGTTAAATGTAAAAATCTATTATAATTAAAGAAATAACAAATAATTGTATTAAAAATTCATTTTTCATTGAAAAAATTTTTTGCTTTCAGAAAATATTGTCCATATTCATAAACAACTAAAAGCAAATAAAAGCATTTGAAATTAAATAATATATTTGATTTATTGAGTTTTGTATGTTACAATTCAGAGCTGATTTTCATGTACATGATTTGCATTACTCAAGTTTTTCACCAAATTCTTTCATCTTTACAAGTGGATATGTTGAAGATCACTGACTCTTTCTTTCTTTCTTTCACTAAATCCTTTTCTCAGTATACCTAAATCTGATGGTATTTTGTTGATTGCATTACTATTTATTTTTTAAACTGATTTTTTTTCACTGGAACTTTCACTTTTTGTATGCTTTAAGATGAAAGGTTTTATTTTGCTGAAGGGAAACTTCAGCAAAATAAAACCTTTCATCTTTATATATTAAAAAAAGCTGATCTAAATTTTATCTTAATTCAGTGAATTAGACTTTTGGTAAGCATAACATAAAAAGTTAGCTTTCTTTTATTTCATTTGTTTTTCGATCTTTTTAGTTTTTTTTTTTATGCTTTAAACATTTTCTCTTCAGCAAAATAAAACTTTTCCTTTTTATGATTTTGAAAAAAGCTGATCTAAATTTTATCTTAATTCACAGAAGAAAAGAAACTGGATAGATTTTTAATTAACATGAGATGAAAAGTTAGCTTTCTTTTATTTATTTTTAGATCTTAAGAATAAACAGTTTCTGATTAAATTGTAAGAAGTTTTGCTTCTTTGTTTTCATCAATGTTTTATGTATATGAAAAAGTGAAACAATTCTTGTAAAAAATCATTATTCATTGAAAATAATAAATTAATTAGTTTGATTATTCTCATATTTTCTAAAATTACACTTTTTTTTAATATGGATGCATTTCACTTGATTCTTTCATCTGTACAAGTGGATGTATTGTCGAAGATCACCAACACTTTCTTTATTTTACAAAATCCTCTCAGTACATCTAAATCTTATGGTATTTTGTTGATTGCATCACAACCTTTTTAAATTAATTTTTTTAACTGAAATTTTCACTTTTGTTTATGTCCTAGATGTTTTAACTTTGACAAAATAAAACCTTTCTACTTTATGCATTAAAAAGCTGATCTAAATTTGATCTTAATTCACAGAAGAACAAAAACTGGATAGATTTTTAATGAAAGTTAGCTTTCTTTTATTTCATTTCTTTTTAGGTCTTAAAAGAGTTTACAGTTATTGATTAAATATTAAATTGTAACAAGTTTTTCTCCTTTTTTCATCAATAATATTTTATATTATGAAAAGTAAAATGTGTAAAAATGTAGATAAAATTTGATAGTTTTGTCTATCAATTTTATTGATAACTGACGAAGAAATGAAATATATGACATGGTGAACTTGATTGGAATAAAGTGTTACAATTTTCTGTTAGAAATAATGCAAAAATATGCCTTTTTTATGATACCTTTCTTTATTTACAGGTCTGATTGTCACAAACTCCTCATCATTTATGCTGCCTATAAGAATCAAGTTAAAAAAAAATGTGCCAATTAGCCTTTCCACACAGTTGACATTAAAAAAACAATCATGAAACAACGAACAACAGAAAAACCTCATTGTTGTGGTATTTGTGGATCTGCATTTCCATGGATTTCAACTTTAAAAGTCCACATGCGAACACACACTGGTGAGAAACCATATACTTGTGAAGTATGTGAATCAGCATTTTCCCAGTTTTCAAATTTAAGAAAACACATGCTAATACACACAGGAGAGAAACCCTATTCTTGTGAAGTGTGTGGATTAGCATTTAAACTGAATACATATTTAACAAATCACATGTATACGCACACTGGAGAAAAACCATATTCTTGTGAAATATGTGGATCAGCCTTTTCAAAGAACTACAATTTGAGAAGACACATTCGAACTCACACTGGAGAGAAACCATATTCTTGTAAAATATGCAAATCAACATTTTCAGTTAATGCTCATTTGAAAAAACACCTTCAAATTCACACTGGAGAGAAACCATATTCTTGTAAAATATGTGGATTAGCATTTTCAGAGAATTACAGTTTAAAAAAACACTTTAAAGCTCACACCGGAGAGAAGCCATATGCTTGTAAAATATGCAAATCGGCATTTTCAAATAATTCTCATTTGAAAGCACACAGTCGAATTCATACTGGAGAGAAACAATATTCTTGTAAAATATGTGGATTAACATGCTCAGAGAATTCCAATTTAAAAATACACATTCAAACTCACACTGGAGAGAAACCATATGCTTGCAAAATATGTGGATCAGCATTTTCAAGGAATTATGATTTAAAAAAACACATTCGGACTCACACTGGAGAGAAACCATATTCTTGTGGAATATGCAAATCAGCATTTTCGGATAACTCTCAGTTGAAAAGGCACATTCAAAATCACACTGGAGAGAAACCATTTTCTTGTGAAATATGTGGATCAGCATTTTCTGAAAATTCTCATTTGAAAGTGCACATTCGAACTCACACTGGAGAGAAACCATACTCTTGTGAAATATGTGGATCAGCATTTTCAGATACCTCTCAGTTGAAAAGGCACATTCGAAGTCACACTGGCGAGAAACCATATTCTTGTGAAATATGTGGTTCAAAATTTTCACAAATTTCAATTGTAAAAAAACATGAACATTCATGCTGGAGAAAAAAAATGTTCCAAACTTTGCCAGTTCAAATATAAGTGTACACATGTAAACACTCAACACAGAGAATTTTTAGTGGCATAGGCTAAAATTTTCAAAGTATTCAGTTTAATTTATACAATGGAGAGAAACATTCTTGCTAAGCATGCCAACTGAAATTTTTACAGGATTTAAATTTTTAAAATATATGGCAATATTAAATTCTGCATATGATCCTACCTTTTTCAAATATATAATTTAACATTTCCAAGAATTCATATTTAAAATCATTCTGAAGAGCAAACATTTACTTGTAAAAATGCGTGTGAACATTATGGTAAACAAAATTCAAATGAAGACACACACTATAGTGAAACTATATTTTTTGGGGCAGTGTTTCTATTGTCCTTTCCATGTTGTTGCCATTTTGAAATTCAAGGAAATGCACTTTATAGAGAAAACAAATCTACATTGAATGTAAGACTAAAAAACAGTATGAATTGCCACATTAGGAAATGTGTGTAATTTAATGTTAACAGAAAAACATATAAAAAAAGTAAATTATCTCTCAATGGGCTTTTTGGTTAAGAAGCAAAACTACAGATATTTGCAATGAAGATAAATGTTAAACTCAAGCATTTTATTGATGTTTGAATTAATAATGTAATTATCTTTAAAATTTGTCATAGATCTTTGCTGATTTCATGGCATATGATGAAGCAATTCTTGTAGTCTCTATACACGGCAATTAAAGAAATCTGCCAATATCTATCCACCACAGTGTGTCCATCTCTCCTTCTGTTATTATCCTTTGCGCTCTGTACATATCTATTACAGTTTTTTCATATTTATCCATAAAATGTATTTAAGCAGAATTACATCCTTAATATGATTTTAATTAAAGGCTATAAAAAATTGAATTTTAAAATATTTTTCAGTTAACATTAAAGCCCTTAATTTCAGTGAAGCCAATATTTTTGTTGTTCAAAAATGAAATTAATAATTTTCCACCTATATAGAGAAAACCAGTCTAAAAAAACAGTATGAATTGTCACATCAAGAAATGTGTGTACTTTAATGTTAACAGAAAAACACTGTATGAAAATTGTAATTTATCTTTTAAAAGGCCTTTTGATTATGAAACAAAACCACAGAAATTTGTAATGGAGAGCTGTGTTAAACTCAAGCATGTTATTGATGTTTGAATTAATAATGTAATTATCTTTAAAATTTGTCATAGATCTTTGCTGATTTCATGGTATATGATGAAGCTATTCTTGTAGTCTCTATACACAGCAATTAAAGAAATCTGCCAATATCTATCCACCACAGTTTTATTAATAGTATTTGGTACTTTAGTTGGGAGGATGAATGCAGATGAATTTGATTGGCAATCCATGTCCTTGTATTCAGGGAGTTAGCGGGAACAATAATGTCTTGTTTTGTTCCTTTTCTTTCCACTCATCCGCAATATAGTGTGGGCCAAGTTGCAAATTTTTGTAGTCTCTATAGGCAACAATTCAAGTAATCTATGTTTTTCAAAATCTTGCTACCACAGTGTGTCCATCTTTCATTCTGCATTTTGCAGTCTGTAGATTTCTATTTTTTTCAGGTTTTTCATACTTATCCATAAAATGTATTTAAGTAGCAGTACTTTACTAATATAAATTTGATTAAAGGCTATAAAAAATTGAAATTTAAAATATTTTTTAGTTAACATTGAAGCCCTTTATTTCAGTCAATAATGTTTATCCATCAAGCCAATAATTTTGTTGATTAAAAATGAAAGTATATTTTTGTACAGTGTGTGTATTGTCCTTTTCATGGAGTTGCCATTTTAAATTTGAGAGAAACATATTCTATAGAGAAAAAAATGTATGTTGGAAGTAAGATTAAATTACATTATGAATTGCCGCATCAGGAAATGTGTGTACTTTAATGTTATCAGAAAAACTATAAAAATATTAGGTAAATTATCTTTAAAAGGCATTTTGGTTTTGAAGCAAAACTACAGGAATTTATAATGAAGATCTCTATTAAACTCAAGAATGTTATTGATGTTTGAATTAATAATGTAATTATTTTAAAAATTGGTCGTAGATATTTACTGATTTCATGGCATATGATAAAGCAAATCTTGTAGCCTCTATACACAGCAATTAAATAAATCTATGTTTTGCCAATATCTATCCACCACAGTCTGTCCATATCTCATTCCGTTCTTATCTTTTGCAGTCAGTTCATATCTATTACAATTTTTTCATATTTATCCATAAAATGTATTTAAGCAGAATTACTTCCTTAATATAAATTTGATTAAAGCCAATAAAACATTGAATTTTAAAATATCTTTAACTTAACATTAAAGCTCTTAATTTCAGTCTGTAATGTTTATCCATCAAGCCAATAATTTTGTTGATCAAAAATGAAATTAATAATTTTCCAGTTAAAATGAATCTAGATTTTATTTTTCAAGAATAATTCAATTTTTTGTTAAGTTCTTCTAAAAATATTACATGTTGAATGTAACTCTAGCAATTTCTTCATATTCATATTTTTAAATGTAATTTTTTAAAAATATAAGAAAATAACTGACAATAATAATATAAGATTAATCAGAAACTAGGTACCATCATTAATTTTTTGATGATGAAAAAGTTCCCCAGACTTGACAAAAACAAAGTTTTATGATGAAAATGCTTGTTATTATTAAGAGGGGGTATTATTTAAATGAGGTTTTATGTTTTTTGATTAAACTAAAAAATAAGAATTAGATGTTATCTTTCTTGACATGGGTAGTGGGTCAAGAACAGTCTACCCCTGCACATTAAGTAAAAGGTTCCGTTCAGAATTCCCTGTATGTTGCCCCTATTGATGTCCACCTGATGAAGGCTGGAGTGCATAATAACAGAAACGTTGTGATAACAACAAAGATGAGGATAATAGTCCAAATGTAAATAGTAGAAAATAATGGTACCTCCTCATCCCAGATTAAACTAATATAGTAAATAATGTATTGATTTCTTGTGTCTGCCTGCAGAAAAATGAAATATTCGCACTTGTTTGTCATGTAAAACTCTTTTTTTCTGATTAATCCACTGTGAATATTTTTGCAGGAGTAGATAGGTTAGTCTATTATTCAGTTCACACTCCTTCCTTGGCTTTTGAAGAAGAATAGAAGTTTATCCCTTGTTTCCTGTTTAAACTGGGTTTCCAGGTCCTTCTAAAGTCTTCTCATCATTTTCACTCTCAGTAGCCCATTCCATCTTAGTGACATTGTCAGCTTGCTTGGGTTGAATTAATTAGTTATATATAAATATAAAAGTAGACATTGAAGTCAACACACAATGTTAACAGTCTGTTTCCTGCATAAACACAATTATCAGGCCTTATTTTCTTATACTCTATCACTGATATTGAGCATTTTAACTCATAGATATAGCATACCTTAAGACTGTATTTTCATCACATATATATGTGTGCAGGTGTGTGTACTTAAAAGCTTCAGATAGAGTATGTCTGTAAAAGGACAGTATAAATGAAACCTTTTTTCTGATTAATCCACTGTGAATGTTTTTGCAGAAGTACATAGGTTAGTCTGTTGTCCTGTTCACATCCTTTTGTGGACAGATGTCGAAGTTTATCCTTTGTTTCTAGTTTAAGTTAGGTTTCCTGTTTATTTTAAAGTCTTCTCAGGTTTCACTCCCAGTTGCCCCTTGTGTCTTGTTCATTAATTATGATAATTATGGCATTATTCGCTTGCTTGGGGGTAGTTAGATATATATGTATAAATATAAAAGTAGTCATTGAATTCAACACCCAGCATACAGTCATCAGGGTATATTTACATATACTCTATCCCTGATATTGAGCACTTTAACTCATAAATATAGCGTAACTTAAAACTATATGGTTATCACACACACACACACACACACACACACACACACACATATATATGTTATAATGTTAATTATGTTTTATGGATATGTCCTGATGATGCTCTAAAATAGACTGAAACGTCTGATGTTGACTTTATATTAACATTAATATGGCATACTTGCATGTTAAGATTTTTTGTTTGGTTTTTCTGTATATTTTTCTTCATATATATATTCATATATATATATAAAATAAATGCAAAACGTTAATGAATTTAAAATTCATGAATTATACAAAATCCAAAGGTTAATGATTTAATTGAAAGAATTCAAATAAATAATATAAAAACCCCGAACCTGTTATGAATGAAAAGATCCTTGTTTCTATAAATTCCTGCTGCATTAGTTCTTATTTTTTACTACAAGCTTTCGTCTGTTCCTACAGACATCTTCAGGTATGGAATAGATGTTGTTCTTGTTTTTTCTCTCAGTAATAAGAGGACAGCGACAATATATGTATTGTTGTATCCGAAAAATGCTATTGGAAATGAGTTATTGTTTTTGGAGCGTGCAGTAGCAACGCTGAGTTTGATTTAACTGTAAAATTTAAAATCAAACTCAGCGAATAAGTATTGTTGTCAGGATTGTTGTCAGGAAAGGAATAAAATACAAAGTTTGTTGTCAGGGAATGTATTATTTTGAATAACTGACTACTTTGAGGGTCAATGTTGTTTCTCCACAATTTAAGAATATGATTAATTAATTAATAGGAATATTAATTCTCAGCTGAAAAATAAATTGAATTATTATAAATTGTGAAGCCCATGGCATAAGCAGTCTAAAATATATCCTGAGAAATGTGAAAATTATTTGACATCAGAAAAATAGAAGTAATTTTTGAACTCAAAACTTGTTTATTGGAAAAATTATTGTCGTCAGAGTATATACTGTTTTGAATAACTGATTGCTTTGTTTGAGGGTCGGTGTCAGTTGGAGAAAATAATTGATATGAATATTGATGAGTCCTGGTGTGTGGTAGGTGTTGAGCAAAATACATATAAATAGATCCCTTAGTTGAAGCCAGCAGTTGGAGCTAAATCATCAAGAGATGCAGACGAGACAGCAGCAGACAAAGGAGCTGCTGAACCCCATGTGATCTGCTGCTGATAGAATTCCCGACCAAACACCTTGTGATGTTGTTTGTAACCTGCTCCAAGTTTTAAAAGAAAATAATAAAGTGTCATGATAAAGAGTTTAACAGGAAGGGTTAATTTTGTTGTATCAATGACTATATAAACCAACTGAAAATTAACCAAGCAACCTTCATTATTTTGTTATGTTATTTGCATTTTTGTTAGTGGAAGTGTTTTTTGTCCTTTTTGTAATATGGTTCAGCAGTCAAGTATGGATGAAATTCAGTTTTCACTGCTCTGTGATCAAAAGAACACAATGTGGGGCAGGGCAGATGAAGGAATGAATCAGCTATCAGATAACCATCAGTTGACCGGCGGCAGTGCTGACATGTGTGAGAACAACCCAGGATCGAGTCAGCCTGGCTATGTTATACAAGAGCAAATTTAGATAAATGAACATAGCGTTCTGGCTTCAAGACAAAGGCAGACCGGGACCGAGTCATATGACACTCAGAACTGGCCTATTTTATTTGCTAGGAAGAAATCCAAGCATGTATTTGTATCAATCAGTTATGTGTCATGCGTGACACATGTGTAAGTGATCATGTATCTTTTGATACATGACTGACGAGGCAGATTTTTGGTAGGTTTCTATTTCTTTCTGTGGTAGAGTAGTTGCCATTGAAGGCTATAAAACCTGGTCTGTCCTGCTATTTATCCATAGCTGGGGGAAGAAGAAGAGGATTCATACCTTTCCTAAGGGTACTAGCATGTAAGTGAATGTAATGGATTAGACTGGAATTCGAACCTGGCTCTCTGATTCCTTAATCTGAGCCACTATCCATTACTCCACCGTGTACTTCTAACTATTATTTTTTTTTTGTATGGAGTGAGTGTTTTGCAGTCATTCCCCCATTGGATTGAGTCATTCTTACACAATATTGGTATAGTCTATTTTTTATAAAGTTTTGTTGAAAATTTGTAAGTTTTCAATGTTTACCAACATTTGTCCCTTTTTTGTCCTGATTTCTACAAATGCTTTCTTGTGTCATCTTTGTTTTCAAATGTTTGTGTGTGCTGTGATGTAGCACTAACCACAGTGGCGGTGTTACACCAGTCACTGAGTATGTAGTTGCAGTCACCTTCACTAACTAAATCAGTATGGACCGCCAATAGCCCCAAAAAGGGCACAACTTATTTTGACCGAATATGGAATGTGTATAAGGACTTTATCAAAGGAAATAAACTCCAAACCATCTCTGAAGCTCTTAATGCAATCACGACCAGAACCATCTCTCTGGTGGCAACAGATGTGAAAAAACCGTAAATTGATCAACATCAGCCAGGAAGAAGAGTGCTCTGCTTGTCATGTGGTGTTGCTGCTCACTTGGCGAAAATGTGGCCTGGGTGCCACCACTGAATACATCTAAAGAAGCAGTGGAGGAGGACAAGACTAGCAGGGTCCACAATGGCCCGAGTGAATGGGAGGAAGGGATCTAAGGCGGTTACCTCTCCTCTTTCTGCTCAGCAGCAAAAAGCAGCTGCAGTAACAACAGAAGAAGCAGCTGATGAGTAAACAGTAGCAGCAGCAACAATTGCAGCTGAAGGCGGTATAATCAAATTCACTGATGGAGGTGGAGGATATTCCCCCACCTCGAGCCTCCTCTTTAAAAAGGGAGAGGGTAGATGAAGAAGAAGAGAAGAATGTAAAAAAAGAGAAAAATATCTGGGCGAAGCAGGGTGGAACAGGACATGGAACAAGCCAAGGCCCAATCTGTCCCAGCTTCACCAACCAGAAAGGACTATGGTTGCAAAGAAGGTAAGACATCATCATCATCATCTTGCGGCCTCAGCCGAGATTGAACTCACTACACCTTTCCAGTATTCCTTATCTGTCATAGCTAATACTTTGATTGGTGTAGTTCATAATCTTGTCAAATAGCTGAATTCTTGATGCTTCTCTAGGGCTATCAAGGGTGTTTTTATCGTGACACCATCACTAAATGGATTGCCAACCAAGGCTCAGAGAGACTCCATTCAAGGTAAGACGAGGAACCTCCCCACTTTTCCTTCCCCAAGAGGGGTGCCAGGCACTAGGTTGACAGGCAAGCAGGTTCTCGAGAGTGACCATTCCACCCTTTTCACTTTGTGACTACTTTCAGAAGCTTTTCACCATGGAGCACGGCCTGAGTGCAGGCTCAGTTCAGTAACTATTTGGCTGACTTTCCTTGCCTTAAGGCGACTGAAGCAGCCAGTTGCAAG